GGACTGTGCCTGGCACACAGGCAGAGCTGGGATGGGGCACGTGGTCTCTGATAGAGCTTGTTGCTCCACAGAACTTCCCTCACAGCTCGCGGCCCCTGGGGAGTCGTCTCTCAAGGCATAGCAGCTCTCACAGTCAATCCAGAGACTCACACTGCCTTTCCACAGCTCTGCGACCAGTGTCCTAATTCTACCAGAAACCTCCTAAACACAGTCCCACGCTCAATACATGTACAGGAAAGGGGTATGCACGCTTACTCGTGCGGGCATCTGGACCCCTGATTTTGCAGTTCCCATTGCCTGCCGTGGCAGAGAAGGGATGTTCCTGCATGTTGTCTTGTGGGGGTCCTCTGGGGGTTGCAGGCAGGTAGACATTGTGCAGCACCATTGCCATGCTTTTCCCTTGACTGTGTCCCAGGACTACTGATCCTGGTACCAAGGGCATGGATGACCGTGGATGCCCTTGGATGTCTGTGGATGAGCAGTGGGTCTTGGTGGAGTGCTTTCTCCTCCCCTGACGATCTGTTCAAGATCTCTGCGGTAGGGGCACATGCACCATACCACCTCTGAAGGATGGTCTTCATGTACTTGAAATGGATGCAGCACCACTTGTCGGTCCGCTGCCACTCTGCAGCAGGCTTGATGTTAGCAACAGGGTGGTGCATCTGCTGGAGAAGCTTTTGCAGCAGTAGTAAAAGGAGGAGACAATAATTAAGAAGAGTAACAGAAGAGTGAAGAGGCTGATCAAGGGGTGGGAGAGTAGGAAGGAGTACTTCCTTTAGTAGTCTTGGAAAAACAACACAGTGGAGAAGCTGAAGAGCATAAGGTGACTTGCTTCCTTTGGTTTAGAGGAATGTGTATGTGGCGTGGCTCTTTTTACGCCATGAGATGCACTTCAGGATATTTCAGGAGCTCTTGGTATTTGAAGAATCCTTTTGTGTTTAGCTTGCATTGAAGGACTCGACACTGGTGAGACCCAGTCATTGTTCAACCCAGGAAGGTTTGAAATCCCTCTTTTGAGCATTTTGAGTGGAATTTCTGTTTTAATATCTTCTAAGAAGAATTCTTTTGGCATGGACCAAAACTGCTTTTTGTACTAGGGACAGCCAGGTGGTTTACTTCAGAACTGCAGTACTTCTCCAAACCTCCACTGCTAACACAGATGTAGTATTTTTTTGGTGGCTGGGTGAAAATAAAGCCATGCTGACTGGGGGCTTGCATTTGATAAAATGTAATTTAAGCCCAGATCTTCAAAGCTGAAAGCCTACTTGAGTTTCTTATTATATCACTTGGTCTGAAGGATTTTATTACTGAAGTGTCAAATATATTAAAGTGATAGAGCAATCTTAAACTTGAAGAAAAGCGGAGAAACAGCATGCTGGTAGGAAAATAGCAACTGTAAAATCTTGAGTGATAAAGTACATTGTCTTAATGTAAACCATAAATGACAACAACTGTAACAAAGTGGAAGGTTTCATGGCTTTTAACAGTTTAATGAAATGTTACTACTCACTCTTCCCTCTGCCCCCCCCCCTTTTTTTTTTTTAGAAAGAGTGATTGCTTGGATATTTCAGGGTTTCCACATCAGTCTTAAGGTCAATGTAAACCTGCTTTATGATGTTCCCTAGTCTTCCAAATAGTTGCAGATAGAGACAGTGTTTTATTATGTAGCCCAAATGTTCCCCAGCTGTCAGAAGGATGAGGGAAAGGGCACAAGGAAAATCAGATACGTACATATTGTATTGGGTTATTGTCTTCAGTGGCATTAAACTCTCTAGGGTGGGGACATTAGGTGCAGACAGGTGATTACTGGGTTTTCATGGAAGACATGTGGTTCCTGTCTACAGCATGCTACATCTATGCTGCTTTAAGTACAATTTACCTATGATAGGTTTCAATAAAAATGACTTAAGTACATGCAGATCTCTTCACTGTCTCTCTCCTACAACCAAGTACCAGTTATATAGCTTGTATACAGGTACTGGGAATCTTCTATTACAAAATTACTAATTATGATCTTTAAATGATGCCTTTTTCCTTTAGCAGGCAAACATTACCCTTTTCATCATCATTAATAATTATAAAATAATAACAATGAATAATAATACTCATCCATTGTGTATAACTCCTTATTGCCTACTATCCATACTTACACTGACTATAAAATTACTCATTAAATATTGTTTTCAATGCCTCTGGCCTTTTTGTCAACACTCTGCTTGAGAGTCTCATAAGCAGCAAAGATAAGGATTAGTTTTCTCAGTTCTTTGAGATAGGTGATATTAGCTCTGTGTTACAATGAGTTTGCAGATTTTAATGTGTTCACAGTAGGAAGTGTAGAAAAGTAATTTTCCTTTGGAAGTAGAGTTGTTATTCTTACTTACAATTACATTCACCAGTCCTATCTAGAAATGACTGTAAATGCCAGTATGGCAATAAATTCTACTTGTATACATGTCCAGGCCTTGTTGATTTTTGCTGGGTTTTGACAGCATATGTCAGTTTCATAGATGGGTATTAATAGGTCTAGAATTAAAAATATTTTCTTTTGATAATCAGTAACATTTAATATAAGAGGTCTGTTACAAATAAATCATATTCGCACCTTAGTTTGTGTGAGTTTTCAGCTTGGTATGGTGATGACTTTGCCTTATAAACATATTCACTCTTGTGTTTGAAAATAACAGCAGGAATTTATGAAATGTTTATAAAAAATGGAAGCTATGCTGTTATCTTCTGATGCAAGCAATGGGTGCTTCGACCTTCTATGTTTCCATTTTCTTAAATCCTCAGGCAGAAGTGTAGAAATATGCAGTTTATTGTGGATGAGCTCTGTATTTAATGCAAACACAGGTCAGATACATCTGGAGCTTCTGGATGTTACTGTCTCAGGTTGCTGAAAATCTGAACATGTGTTCCCACTGAAGAGAGAAGCAGTGAGTAATGCTATATTATCGTCTTCAGTACATGTATCAGATAGGCTTCTAGGATTGTATGTAATTGCCCCAAATTTTGAATATGACGATAAAAGAAAGAGCCTAATGCCTACAAATCTCAGAAAGTAATAGTGGTACTGGAATTTGAAATATTAAACAGGAAAAAAGTAACTCTTTAAATAGAGAAAACTCAAATTGGATGAATAATATAAATGAAAGCAAAACATTTCAAATAAAATCTACCCTCCTGACTAGCTCATCCTTGAAAAAGAGGGTTCTTTCCACCTGTCCTGCTTGCACAATGTGTATTACTGGCCTAGGCTGCTCCCATTGCTTGCATTATTTGCTGAGTCACCAAAACATTCTTACTGCTTCAGGAGCTTGGGTATTTTCTATTCTACAGGCAACACCCCCCTGCTGCTCTCAGGAGTTTGTCTCCCCTTTTCTTTCTCTCCAGTCTGGTAGTACCTGAAGAAGAATCTTTCACGAGACTAAGTTTTACTTGAAACATTATGTATGTGATAAATGAATAAATAAGGAATAATGCAGTACAGGTAAGATGTAAGGAATTCATATATGAGTAGATTCATGTTACACTGATAGTGAAAGAAATTAGAATGTTTAAACTTCTTATGTTTATTGTAGTATTTTCTTGTGAATGGCAACCTCTTAAAGAAAAGTTTTACTGCTGTAGGTAAGAAGAGTTCCCCTGTAAGACAGAGCAACTCCTTTGTTCTCAACTTAGATTTATGTCTTCAGATACCCCAAGCACTTCCTAGAGAATTTAACTTTTTAGTCTTATCACTAATGTAAAACTATTGCAAGCAGAACTCCTGTTCTGGTTACATCTGACTGGCATGTTAACAACCATGCTTATGCAGTATTCCAGCTCACGACTTCCTGGGATGTTTCTACTTCCATCCTGTTCCCTAGCTTATTAGTCTACTTTGCTGCTTCTTAGTCTACAGTTTTTCTTGTTAACCTATTAACATATGTTTTGTGCACAGTTACGTGCAGTTTTACCTCTATTACTTATATACCTCTACACCCTGATGTCTAATTGAAAAATTCAAAGGCAGTGAGCAGGTTTAGATACTGAGTGTCACACAGCTATCAGCCTCTGGAACTTGAGAAACCTCTGACAGCTGACTTCATTCAGTCGCTCTTGGGGAATTAGTAATTTGCTTTTCCTTCAGAAGATGTCACATTTCCATGCCGCAACAAGCAGGTTGGGACAAGTGCACAGTGCTTGTCACAGGCTCCCATGCTGACTCTAACAGAACTTACTATGTGGTAAATTGTCCGTCCTGATGTACTAATGAAATATTCAATACTAGTTTTGTGACAGAATACTATACACTGTTGAGGTAATAAATATTTTCTCATGGTGATACAGATGGCTGACTTTGCTGCTCATCTATCACATTTCTTGAGTTCCAGTCCTTTGCTGCCATGCATAGTCTGTCTTCAGGGTTCCGCATACCAGAAATGAAAATCTGAAAAAGAGAGGAAAAATGACTTCTTAAATCTAAACATGTTTCTCTGAATTTGTATTTACATTTAGTTCAGGGTGTAAGATTTCTTACCTCAGATTCTGCAAAGCTTACAACACTGTAGTAGGGAAAATATTACTACATATTGATTTGTGTTTCAAACTTAGCTAGTTAGGACAGAATTTGCATTATGAAATGCCCTGTTTACATCCATTCTTAAAAGCTAAAATTAAGAAATATAAGCAGTTATCTGGATAAAAGAATGGGAGGTTAGAGTGTCATTTAAAAATTTGTAAAACATCGCTATTGATTTTGTTTGCTCTAATGTGTAAAATAATTAGTTTCAATCCATTCCCATTTTACAAAATAAAAATGTATTACAGTGGTTTTTTGCAAAAAGGAAATTGTCCTAAATTTATTGAACCTGGATTGCATCGTTCATCAACTTTCCATCTCATACTAGCTCATCATCTTAATGTCCCGCATCTGTTGATTGTGTGAAAGTTATTTTTTTATGGGGCAACAGCAGATCTGGAGAAACTTTTAATATGTTGGGAATGTTTTGTCAGTACAGGTCTCCAAGTTAGCTGATGTCATGGTCAGACATGGTGTGAAGAAAGGAGATCGTGTGGTCATCTACATGCCTATGATTCCACAGACAGTGTACTGTATGCTGGCTTGTGCAAGAATAGGAGCCATCCATAGCCTGATTTTTGGTGGATTTGCGTCTAAAGAGCTTTCTGTTCGCATTGATCATGCAAAGGTAATACGTATTTGGAACAACAAACACCATTGCATTAGTTACTTATGTAAGTGAATGCCAAAAAACCAGCTTTTTTTTCCAGAGAGGGTAACAACATTTGTGTTTGTGTGGCATGCAGTCTCAATTTGTTTATAATACCTAACATTGCAATGTGAACAAAGTACTACATCTGTGCTGAGGTTGATATTTTTATTACAGACATTGAGATACAAATTTTGACCTCTTTTGAAAAAGCATGAGTTTAACACGCTGCTGTCTGTTTAGAGCATACTTTCTTCTCCCATTTGTCAATCTTTTTCTACAAAGCATCCCCTTAAAATTGGCTTTTCGCCCAGCATTTTCCTCAAGTCTATGAGGAAAATGCTGCCTACCCTAAATGGCTTCATTATTTTACTTGATGTTTAGACATATGAAGTAGTACATTTTTTTAGCTATAAATCTACTTCATCTAATTTCTACATGAATCAAGGCAGCTAGGGAACCAGTTGCCTTAAGTAAGTGACTCTGCAGAGAACATAATTGATAGAGCTGAATGCTTTAAAGGCTTCCAAGTTTGGCACAAGTTGAGCTTGTTTATGAAGCATTATGTAAGTCTTTGTAAATGAAAATGCAAATAGTACTTAAATAATCTATTTAGTGGCTTACATGTGCATATTAGTAGCTTGCATGTGCATTAGGTGCAAACCAGCTAACAATATTTGTACTGGAAGTTTCTGTTCTTGTTTTCTACCAGTGAACAAGACGAGTCTTTGTCATCTTGATGAGTCATCTAGATCATTCGGACCATCCATGGTGGCCATTTATCACTGAATCCCGTTGGTTAGACATATAAGCCAAAACACTATGCAGGGTAAAGTCCACAGGATCTGTGGAACTTTTACTTAGATTTTTGTGTATGGAAGTGCTTTTTGCATCACCAAGGCTTGAATTTTATGAATATCTGTAAATAGAAAGTTGAATGCATCCCCCCTCCTTGCCTTGATGTTTTAACAAAGAAGTTAATAAAATGGCTGAAATGGTTTGCTGGAATTGTGAAAAAAACCTGGGGGAGAGCTAACAACAGCTCCATAGTTTTCCCTGTCTTTCTTCCCACTCCCCCACTTTTTTAACAAGCTATAAAAATTAATTTTAACTCATAGAATTAGGGAAAAATGCTGTAGAAGAAAAAATGATAAACTTTTAAAATGAAGGTTACTACAATACAAATCATCCAGCGCATTTACTTTAGAGTGTCTTGCAAATATTAACTAATTAATCCCAATGGATTTTCTCTGAGGAACAAAGGGAGACAGCACAGTAATCTTAATCCTTGCTTCATGCATTAAAAAGAAAACAGAGGAAGTTTAAGTGATTTACCCAAGGTCACATAGCAAGTCTTTCAAAGGGTTAGCTATAGAATTACTAGCTGCAGGCCATGGATTAAATCCTAATTTATATTGCCTTTTTGTTTCTTTAAAAGGCACATCTAAATATTGTGGATGATTTTTGGTCCATCTGATGTGTAATGAAAGTGTAAGTGGAGAGGCACATCCTCAATCTAAATTTCAAAACATGCCCCAATTTTGCAACACGGTAAAGCTTTCTTGATAAGTGAATTGCACGCTACTGAGATTATCTTTAAGATATGTATATAAATAGCTGTGATAGATGATATTCTGCTGAACTCAGAAGTTAATTGAAGCAGTCTCAAAAAACCCTAACCTTTCTTTTAGGCTTTTATGTGAATTGGTTTAGATGCTGCAGTACAGGACCTAATGTTGCTGAGATTAATTAGAAGGAGTTAAAGATGTGCAATGGAAAGCTGGCTGTGAGATGCTCTTGTGGAAGAAGGGTTGAACTTCATATTTTATTGGAATATTTAAGTGAGAGAAATAACAAGCACTTTCTAGTGACTATGAAAAGGTACATATACTTTACCAGTTTACCTTAATTTATCTTGAATTTTAAGTAGGTCTGGGAATGCTGCAAAGTCCTGCAGCTGATAATTTCTACTCGTCAGGTATTAGCAGTTACAGACATTCTGCCGTGAATTGTGATGAAGTGATACAGGCGTGAGAACAGGCATTTCTTGTCATCTTTCCTTTCACCTGAATTTGGGAATATATAGTTTGTAATATTGAAACAGTAGATACTTTCAGAGAATCATAGAATAGTTTGCGTTGGAAGGGACCTTTAAAGCCCATCTAGTCCAATCCCCCTGCAGTGACCAGGGACGTCTTCAACTAGATCAAGTTGCTCAGAGCCCCGTCCAGCCTGACCTTGAATGTTTCCATGGATGTGGCACCAACCACCTCTCTGGGCAACCTGTTCCAGTGTTTCACCACCTTCACTGTAAAAAGATTTCTTCCTTATATCTAGTCTGAATCTACTCTCTTTTAGTTTAAAACCATCGCCCCTTGTCCTGTCGCAACAGGACAAAATGTACGAGACACAGAAATTAACTCAAAACTGTTACTATCTTTCATTGAGGTTGGAAATACTGTATTCCTCACTTATTTACAGTTGACACATCTGGAAATTTTAGTAAGACCTCCTTGAAAAAAATGACCTAATCTTTTGTAATAGTTTATTCTGAATAAGACATAGTTCCTGTGCACAGGTATGGCTATGAATGGTTACCCCTACTCATCATGAGAGGATCAAACCTTTTGAGTGATTAGGCTGCAAGCTCAGCTGCTGATACTTAAGATACACAATTGCCTTGCAATAGTTGCAGTCTGGTCTTTTCTTGTGTTCCACTGTTTATTTTTGGAATATGTATTGTAGATTAGAAGGCACTATCTTGTGTTTTATTTTTAACTACTTGTATGGTATGATTCAGGTCTCTTTCTTTAGAGCACTGTATAATATTGGCAGGATTTAATGTGCATGGCAGTCTGACATGGATCATCTCACCACAAAGCCAGTGCAGTACCAGCAGGTGCAGCAGAGCTATATAATGACTGCATAGGCACTGGATTTCATTAAAATGCGTGTCACTCTTTTTAAGGAGGAGTGAGGCACAACAAAAGTGCAGTAAGTTTGAGCATAGACTTGTGATCAGATGTGCTGCTGGGGCATGAGGAGGAACAAGTGTTGTGTGTTGCATAATGAGGGCCCAAGTGCTGGATCTCTCAATAAACATCTTCGTGACACTCCTGACATTTTGTGCCCCAAAGCTAGTTGATTTTCAGTTTGGGCTTTTTGCAGCTTTATTAGCTGGCCCAATAAAATGTATTTATAGCTTTTTCTAAACTTTGCCTTGAATGCTGTTAGGGACTGTAGAAGAATTTGTAGGAGGAGTCTTTACAACAGAATAAAATTCTTGGTCTGGTACTATTGGGCCTTGCTTTATCTCATTTCTACTTCTTCGTTTGGTTTTTTTTTTTTTTTCTACAGCTCACTATCGCTGACATTCCCTCTCCAGCAAACCTTTGAACTTTCCTCGTTTTCGTTCAAGCTAGTTATATTTCTATCTAATCTTATTGTGCAGGACTACATGGAGCCACAGAAGAGGTGGGAAGTGGGTGTATAAAAGCAGTATGGGAGCAGAGATGCAGGGGAAGTAATGTCAGTAGGCAGAGAGGTAAAACACTAGAAAACAGCAGTTAAAGCTGGTAATGGACCTTTGATTTGCACAGAGTGATCTTTGATGCTTCCAAGTAGCAACCCTCACTTGGGAAATACATCACCTTAGCCAATTTAGTATTGGTTATTTTTAGACCTTGTTACTGCATACAAAACAGTTGATGAGCAGAGGTGGCACCATTTACAAATGACTGTAAACCTAGTGTTGACAACAGTCTTTCATCTTAACAATTGAGTAGAACTGTGTTAATATCTTACATTAATTACGGTCTAATTTCAGGGTAGCCTCCAGATGAATTTTCAGTTTAACTGCATTGTATTGTATCATCTTTTATTAAAATCGGTGCATACCAAAAGAGAAAGAAGACAAATGCTGAAATGTTAAAGCTCATCTGAAATCTTTATTTTGAATACACACTAATTAGCAAACTTCCCTGAATGGCAGATTTGGACAGGAAACTTTTTATTATTGCACAAGAAAACAATTTAATCTGTGCTTTCTGTTCTGAGTTTAATGCAGCCTTAACTATGGCATTGTGGTTTGTGCCTACTTAATGAGATTTATGCTAATGCCTACAATTAGTAAACTAGCTTGATCAAACTGAGGGGCATAAGATAAGTATAATTCTAAAACCCCAAAAGCAAGGAGATTGAAGACTCGTTCTTCTCCAGTTAAAATGTGTTCTAACACATAGTTTCTTTGGTGCTACCTTTTATTTCCTGAAATACAAGAAATAAAAATACTGATCTTAGGACCTAAGTCAAAATAGTTTGTATGCGGATTTCATGACTTAGGAAATCTTACATAAAACCTGAGGTTAATTTAATGACAAAGATGCTAAATCCACATTTGGAAATAGAAATTATTCTAAAAAAACCCTGAACTATGGAAAACTGATTTTTAGTCGTTTTGCATCCTGAATCCTGCAACCATCACTTGAAAGACTCTAGCTTTACTTCCCTCATGTGCCTTATGACTTTAGCTTATTCTCTTCCTGTGTTTCTAGTTTCCTGTCATCTCGTTTGCTTTCTTTTTCCTCTTTCTCCTGTTTTCCCTCCCATGCCATTTAATTGCAGGCTGAAAAAGAGCCAGCAAAGTGCTACAGCTAGTTTTGAGATATGCCATTGGGTGCAGGCAGATAATTAGAAAGCAGGCTAAACAGGACAGATAATTGTTGACATCACTGTACCACTTTTACTTAATGGAGGGGCTAAGGTGCAGATGGGTTTTTGTCTCTGTTCATTAATTTTTATGCAACTTACAGGAACTTAATACTGCTGATTCCTTACTCAAATTTGGTTGAAAATGGTGAAGAGTGTCAGAAGTTATTAGTGTGCTCCTGAACAAAAACCGGATGCATGGACAGCAAGATCACGCAAGCTTTATTGCCTTAGAAAGCTGATCTAACCCCCTGTTTCTAATCATGTGAAGATAGATTTTTTACATTGAACATCATTAATCAAAGAATTTCATGGAAAACATGTTATTAGGTTACGTATGTGAAATATATTGCAAATGTATATATTAACAATCTAACTTCTTTATTTTAGCCCAAACTTATTGTAACAGCAAGTTTTGGAGTAGAACCAAAAAGGAAAGTGGAATACATATCCCTCCTCGATGGAGCACTGGCAAGGGCACAGAGCAAACCTGATAAAGTTCTCATTTACAAGCGACCTAATTTGGTGGGTGTACAGTTGTGCCTTTATGTTAACTTTCAGATGTGTATGTAGTGCACATGCCTTTTCTCTTGTACAAGTAAAATTCTTAGTGTATCTGTTGTAGTTTGTTTTTTAATTTTATGGGAGAAGTTTGTAGTTGTAAGATTTAAATAGTAAATCAAACTAATGCAGCAGAGAGATTATTGTTCAGAAAGTTGAATAATATTGTACAAAAAAATTGAATAGTACATGTTTTTTGACCCAATTCCATTTATTCCATCTGTTTTTCTTTTGACAATGTTCTATTTTTCGATGGGCAGGGCCATGTTCCTCTTGCCCCAGGTCGCGATCTTGACTGGGAAGAAGAGCTTGCAAAAGCACAGTGTTATAAATGTGTCTCCGTTCCCTCAGACCATCCACTTTATATTCTGTATACATCTGGAACAACAGGCTTGCCCAAGGTAAAGGACTATCTGTAGTCTAAGTGTCTGTGACCAACCTATTTGCAGTTCCACTTGAGAAAATATTTAATTAACAAGGTTGAAATTGTTTGCCAGAGCTCAGTGCTATAAATGATAAGCATTGCTAGAAATGGTTTAATCTCATTTATTCACATTTCACTACTTTACAGTCAGTGTCTAGGAATAAATCATGTTTGTTTATTTAAATAGTAATAATCTAAAGATAAACTGCATTTACTTCTAAATGTTTGTACAGTATAAACTTTTGAGGACAGCAGAATGTCTTTTATCCATTAATATCTTCTGTGTTTTAACTGTTTCAGATAAGCATAGTATAGTCACTTAATGGCAAGATTACTTAATATATCACTTGTGTGATAGCGTTTATTGCTGAATAGTCTTTGCTTAGTCATTATTTACATAGTAGCTCATCTTCCAATAGATAAGATGTAGTGAATGACATTACAGATTAAATGGATTTAAGCGTGCTCTGAAGGCTTGTGTTACTGAACAGTTCTGAGAACATAATTCCCCTGAAAATGAAAGTTTAGATTGAGTAAGTGAAAACTAACAGGGCATTCTTTGAAAATGTTTGCTTTCAAATGTCAGTTAGTCTTAATGATGTATTTTTAAAAGATCTTAATTTAAAAGCAAACCCTTGAGTGTTTGCTTGGTACTTACAATTCTCTTTTCAAGTGTAGAAGGCAAGCTGAATAGAATTTTCTGGCAGTGGTCTTACCACCACAAATTCAGAGACAGTATCACACATCCCTGGATATGGCAGTGCTTAGACTACTACTAGAAAATTATTTAATGATGTGGCCTATAAAGTTCAGAATCTGTGGGGAGGTAAGGGAAAACAAACATCAGTTTTGCTGAGAAAAATGTCTTCTGATTTTGCCTTGAACATGGGCACTTTAAAGCAACATATGTATCTTGAATTATTTCATTATAAAGGTCCAAGGTAAGATACTTTGTTACAACAGGTATTTTCCTTGACTGTTAATTCAAAAATACAGTGTATCAGAGATAAAAGTTCTCAGAAGTTTACTTCACTGTGTTGGCTCTCCAGAGAAAAATGGGCACCTTGAATGAATCACCCTTATAAGAGGGAGATTGTCAACTAGTACTAAGTGCAGTAAGTAGCAATAAAATAACTTTTTATTCATTTAAGGAACTTGCTTTTAAATGGTCATGCAAGTAAAATTACTCAGTTACGACCTTCATAACAAAAGTTTTGTTAATCTAAGAGCAGGGACTAAGTTAGAAGCTGAGACTAGCAAAGGCAATCTGCTTTCTGAAATTCGTGGATTGTTAGTTAACCATTCTCTGCTGTGGCAACCTCCATTTTAATGAGTTAATATATTGTGTCCACAGTCCCTTGTTTTTTGGGCAAGGTCTGGAAGTGCCTATTTCATTCTATTAACTACATAAAGAGAATGTACTGTGCCTAGCATAGACAGAGAGCTGCATTGTAATGTCTGCACTGTAGATAGCTGTTTGGTCTGATCAATCTCATCTGAATTTTAGTTCAGGACATAGTTTACTTAATTCTGTCTTCTAGAAACAGTGTACTAGAAGATGATGAAATGTATATTAAGCATAGAAATATTACAAAATATTTCTAAATTTTTCCCATTAACAGTTCCAGAGCTGATTTTCAGTTTACCAAGGTGCATGATGCTGTTGATACTCTCTCATTCTAATTTTCAAATCCCTCTTTTAGACTAGGACTGGGATGTTCTTTGTTTTGCATTTGTATGTATACTTTGGGCTAGATAGTAAACCTTTCAAAAATAGACAGCTGGTTGAAGTCAATTTTCTGACATCTTTAAAAAGAGTCAGTGGAGAAAGAGGGGTACATTTCAGGGAGTAATTCACCCTGGTTATTTTAAGGATTGGCTACTCCACCTCTTTTCCAGTGATGATACAGAGAGCCTAGGCAATGAATGTAAAACATGCCTAGCATTTAGATGGCCACAGTTTAAGTGAGGTAAATAATCTCTTATTTTTTGTCAGCATATGTTGACTAAATATTTCTATATCCGATTTTAATGAGAGAATTCTAGTTTTGTTAGTTATCTTCTGAAAACTGTTGTCATCTAGGTCTTGGGTTGGGTTTTTATGTTTGTCTTAATGTATGTTTATTTATTTGTTTGTTTGTTTTCCAAGAGTACTTCTTCAGTGGGAATGCTAGCACAAGCATGTACTTGTTGGAATGGATCCTTTTCTTAAGTGAGGAGCATTGGAATTAGGCAACTTTAAGTCGATTGCTGCTAAAACCCCAAAATTTCTTTGAAGGCAGGAATATCACCGCATCCTTCAAATGATCTTAAATATTCAAATTTTCTCATTTAGGGTGTTGTCAGACCAACAGGTGGCTGCACAGTTATGCTGAACTGGACAATGTCGGCTGTATATGGACTCAAACCTGGTGAGGTAATTCTGTTTAAATGTCCTGTAAATGTTTTTGAACTCCTCTTAATAAATCCTCACGATATTTACATTTTTATTTCATTTTAGGTGTGGTGGGCAGCTTCTGATTTAGGCTGGGTTGTTGGTCATTCCTACATTTGCTATGGGCCTCTCCTTCATGGGAATACTACAGTTTTGTATGAGGTATGATGCATTCTAAAAAGCCAGCCTTTGAAAAGGCAATATCTCCCCTGGTTGATGATCCTGATGATCCTGTTTATGCCTGTCTATTCTTCATGCCACATATGTTTAAATTGTGTGTATATCTTCAGTGTTTTTACTCTCCTGTCTATTGTAGTAATTCTTAAGGAAAACTTACTTCACTATCCTTCAAACATGTCTGCTTCATCTGTGTGACTGGTGATGGTTGATGGGGCAAGGAACTCCAAAACAACAGACCTAGAAATGGCAGATGGTGGAGTGTACTTGTGTTGTTGAAGCTTCAGCCACAGGCCGTTAGACTGTCTTTATTATGTATCTAGGTGAGGATGTTGTGTTTTGCATGTCTGGAGATGACAAATTCTTACTGGATCTGAGTTGGAGGCAATTGGCAGCTCTATGGTTGGAGCCAGAACTTTTAAGGAGACTTGTGTCTTCTTTCCTCCCTCTACAACTCAAGGCACCTGAAGCCAAGACTCAAATGACATTCAGGTCTTGGTCCTTCTTGGGGGATGAAACTCAGTGGGGTGGAGGGGAGACTAGTCCAATTAGAGTGGCCTGCTGCTTCCCAACTTTGGTGCTCAAAAAAGCAATCACGCTGCCTTACATTGTTATTTTTTCAGAAGTTATTGTTGATTCTCTAATCGCCAGGGAAGAAAATACAGTGTTGCTTGAATCATCCTCTTTATTATTCAGGGAGTGAATCCAGTATCCATCAGTGATAGTGAAAGACTTTTTATGTAGAAGCGCCAACGTTGTTAGCTCTTCAGCATGCTGAGACTTGTTTGTCTGCATTCACCTGACATTAGGAATTCTAGGTATATCGCAACTTCTCCGACACTGTGCAGCATGACGCCCACCTAGTAATTGGTCTGTCTTGTTCAACAGTCCTAGAGGCAGGAGTTGTTTTAGCTCTGCCATTGCGGCATGCTGATCACCTCTGTTGATTTGTAGTGGTAATTAGAAACATGTGAACCATTAAAAGGAATCCAGTGGTAACTCAGAGCATACAAGAACTGCAGAAGTATAGTAAATGTACTGGATACCGAGGGCATGAAAAAGCACATGAAACAAGCTTTGATGACATTGTGAATATAGCAATTGTTAGAGCACCACGTGTACCCAGTGCTTCTGGAGCAGGGGAGTCAGCATGACATGGTGGAAACATACTGTTTTACAGACCATCATAGGTGCAGAAGTTCTGCATAAGAAAATGGATATTACAATTAAACTTTCTCCATCTTCCTCCTATTACACCATACAACTGAAGATGACCATACTAGAACAGAAATGGATTGTTACTGTTTTCAGGAACAAGCATTATCAAAACAATTCTTTGGTGTTTGCACAACCAGTTAAGTTGGTATTGGTTGAGATGTGCTTCACAGTTACCAACATTGCTGTTAGTGGGTAGCTGTTGCTGGGATTGTGCCTGAATTTTGAGTAAATATGTTTCTGAATCCTGGGGATACTGAAGAAGCATGGACAGTTGTAGTAAGATGAGGTTGCCTCCAAAATTGTTTGGATGCTGCTGCATCAGACACTACAGAACTGACTATGGCTTGCTGCATCCTGTTTTGGAAGTTAGAAGTATACTTTACTGCTCGAAGTTCACTCTCTTTATAAACTTATAAGCGAGATTCTCAAGCAGAAGATGCCTCTTGAAGTGGGTCAAGAATCCTCAAGTCCAGAAAAGCAGTAGTCATTAGGGGTGTGTCTACATGATATTTCAAATCTCAGCAGTAGTGCAGTTCTGAAATAAGTTGTCTGATTATCCTTGCTTATTGATTTGGTTCACTGAGTGGTTTTAGACATAAGAATGACGTCTTTACAGAGAAAGCTAAGACAGAAGCTTTGCCACTTGGGATAAAAGGGTAGGATCCAATGAGTGGGACTGCATTGCTGTGAAGTTTTCCAGAACAAATGAAAACTACATCTGCCAACAGAAAGCTTTAAAACTGTCAAGAGCTCCCACCTTATTCTGCAGTACTTGTGCTATGCAAAAGGGCCAAATGCTATGTGCAGTTTCATATTGCCTAATGACCGCCAGATGTCTGCTTGTTCTGACTTTCAGCTGCTCCTTTATTTCTCCCAAGCTTTTGCTTCTGTCATCTTCACCAGCCCTATTTCTTTTGCTGTTCTTCCTTTATGAACATCTTTCTTACGACCTTATTAAAATTATTCCTCCTTTCCGACTGCTGCATTTTGCAATAGTGAAAACCGTTGCATTGACCTTCCAGAATATTGAGCAAGGGGCAACTTGGTGCTTGACAGCATGTGCTCTGAAAGGCCCAAAAGTTTCTCCAGCAGATGAACCACCCTGTTACTAATGTCAAGCCTGCTGTAGAGTGGGAGATGACTGACAAGCAGTGCTGCATTCATTTCAAGTAGATGAAGACCATGTTCTTGATGAGGTGGGAAAACCATGCTGCAGAGGTGGCATGGTGCGTGTGCTGCTACCGCAGAGATCTTGAACAGATTGTCAGGAGATGGGAGAGCACTCCACCAAGTCCACTGCTCATGAAGCCATCCACACCCTTAGTCCCAGGACCAACAGTCCAGGAGAAAAGTCCAGGGAAAAGTGTGCCTACAGTGCTGCACACATCTACATGCTTGCAAGCCCCAGAGGACCCCCACAAGACAACATGCAGGAACATCCCTTCTCTGCCACGGCAGGCAATGGGAACTGCAAAATCAGGGGTCCAGATGCCCGCACGAGTAAGCGTGCATACCCCTTTCCTGTACAGGTGTTGAGCGTGGGACTGTGTTTAGGAGGTTTCTGGTAGAATTAGGACACTGGTCGCAGAGCTGTGGAAAGGCAGTGTGAGTCTCTGGATTGACTGTGAGAGCTGCTATGCCTTGAGAGACGACTCCCCAGGGGCCGTGAGCTGTGAGGGAAGTTCTGTGGAGCAGCAAGCTCCATCAGAGACCTTGTGCCCCATCCCAGCTCTGCCTGTGTGCCAGGCACAGTCCTGGAAACCGCCTAAGTCATGAAGTGGCATGCCTTGATAACAGCTCTCCTAGGCTTTTGCCACACTGTCTCTTCCTCTCCTCAAATGCAGTGTATAAAGGACCTACCTTGTGGTGGTAGTCATGCTGGTACTTCTGGCCACATGTCAGATCCTGTCCTGTCCTGCAGTCAGTTGCTTGTACAACAAATACCATACAGGATGATACCATTTCTTTGAAATGCAGTGGTTAAGGTTGTTGTTGGCAATATATTGTCTCTGCCTCTGCCCCAAGTCACACTCAGGAAAGGTCATAAAGGGACGGGCACTGCAGGCTGGGGTAAGGCATAGTTGAATTAGCCAGGTTTACCGAAAACAAGTGGATTGCATGCAGCAAGGGAGTATGTGAAGCACACAAGTGTGGAAGAGGGGAAAACTAAGGACAGAGAGAAGTATTTGGAATCAGTTCCTTTTTAATCATTGCATAACATTTGCCGGATTGAAAGACATTGATGTCCAGTAGCGTTCCTCCCATCCCATTGCACACCTGAATGCTCAGTGGGTTGATGACTGTATTCAGTGAAGGAGTGAAGTCCTGACACAAGTGCATTGCTGGATGCCCCACCTATGGCAAAGAGAGCAGAGAACCTTCATACAGGTACTGCAGAAGTTGTGCTCAGTGTTTTAGTCTGAAAGAAGGTCTCAAAGATGTCCTCACAGATGGTTCAGACTGAAAGTGATACCCTGAATTTGGAAGGTATTGGAAACATTTGCACAGTGTCTGTCCCACATAGCCTAGTGTCTTTCAGATGACCAAATGTAGACTGCGGTTCCATTATGCATTCAGTAAAGGCACAGTTATGTTAGGCCTGTGCTGCACCATTGTCAGAGTGTACCTTACGGTGTGGGGCAGAAGGGTATGCAGCATCTCTCATGATGCTCATTGGCACTGAGGACATCATGAATGATCCTGTTCCTTCTTGGCAAGAAGGCACTGGCATATGTTTTGGTTCTGTCACCAGAGATACAGAATGCAGGTATATAGAAACTTTATGGTGGAGTCTACTGGTAGTGTGTGAACTGACATGCTACTGTCATCTGTATGAAAGAGGTGAAAGGGACAGCACCACACTTCCTAGAAGAGAAGTCCATTCAGTCAAGGAAGCAAAGATCTGTCGGTTAGCTTTCCATCAGAAAACTCTGAACTGCATTTTTGGCCCAGTAAACAAGGCTAAGTCTAGTCTAAAATAACCCTCAAATAACATCTAATGGAAGAGGTAAAGAGCATTGGCATTAAATGGCTTGATCTACTAATCTGCTTTAATTCACCTCGCTACTTGCTATGTAAACAAAGTCTGTGACACCATATGTGCTTGCATTCATGTTTCATGTTATTATTTCATGTGGTACTAAGTTTATTTTTACCAGTGCATGTAGTAGGAAGAAGATTGATAATCTCTTATAAAACAGCAGATTGTGCCTACGTGACACCTGTGTATGTTGCTTTGTACAAAATCCTGTTGTTTATCATTTTTGTAACAGAAAAATGTAAAATAGGAAAAAAAATGCAATGTTTAAAAGCAAAGCAAATCTTGAGGTCTTAAAAATGTGTTTTGGAATGTGTTCTTGTCTTTGTGGTTAACTTTTAAAAGTGTTAACTTTTTCTTCTGTTCATGGAAAGACTGTGGGTAGTGTGTTAAGTTGTTTTATGAAATAGAAAATGAGCTTTTTGTCAGGATGTTTTTTTTCCTCATTTTGTGATCTGTAGGATCTGAGGCAAATAACTTTGTTTTTTAGCTTCTAGGCATTGGATTGATTTTTCAGTAATCCTTCTAAAAAGCAGGTTTGCAAAACAAGTATTTTTTTATTGAAGTACACAAAGTGATAATGACAAGCACAAGGGTTTTTTTCTCTAAATGGCTAAGACAGAGAAGTTCACATGCCTTAATGCTCCCAGCCAATGATTGCAGCAGCTGGAGAAAACTTAAACAAATAGTTATTCTTAATTTGAATCTCAATGTACCTTCTGTCCAGATA